ATAATTTAATTTAGGCTGATCGACGTTCGAGCAGTCTATCGCAATATATCTCAAATTTTTACATAGAAGAAAGACAGTGTTTAATGCAAGCGATGATAATTGCGGGGATAAGGTTAGGGACAATTGTGGAAGGAGACTTTTTTAGTATTCTGACACACTTGCAAATTATTATCTCCATTATACTACCATACTCTTTTGCCAAAAAGCCTTTGTCACGAAAAAAAAAGTGGGATCAGAGTACGAGTCACATTTTCTATCCACTAGAAAGATCATTAGCGAAATTATCAGATAGCATAGTGAGTTCTATTGAAAATTTCAGCTCGCACTTGTCAGCTAGTGCTCCAGTTGTTACCTTTAAAGGCACAGTTTACGATAATCTTGAGATACCCGTGTTCATTCAAAAAGCGGAAGTATAGATTGGGAGTAGTTCATCGGTATAGGGGAAAGCAAGAGAACTCGCCGATTTCCAGAAAAGTATGGCTCTTCAAAAGTAGGGAAAGTAGAGGTTGGACGAGATTGCCATAATGGAAATAACATGGAAGGGGTTTTCGGACGAAGTTTCAGTTATTGCAATTGCACAAAGAGCTGGCTACATTAAGCCAGAACTGTGCAGAACTGTCTATCACTTTCTCTATATGTGGTGTACGTGGGGCCTCAAATTCATCCTGTGGGGGGTTCTCAGAAATAATTTTCATCGTGAACTGTGCCTTTAATGATCGAACTGCTCTAGAAAAATGCCTGGGATAATGCTATACAAGAGGACCGCATTTGTTCTAATAATATAGCTTCCCTCAGCACCTGTGCTAAAGAAACTTGCGTTTTGAGTTATATGCTTTACAAGCTGAATTCCCAATACCAACAGACCACTGTTAAGTTGTTCAACAACTATCTTTATACATTAGGCATTCAAGGTTGTTTCACTCACAGCAGATATGTTGTGAGACCAAAGCCCAATAAGCGATTCAATTGAAAAGTTCGAGAGTTCAATCTCACAAGGAACAAATCGCGAAAATTGGTAGCTACTGATGAGACACGCTCATTGATTTTCCCATGCTTAAGTCATGAATGTGGAGTTCAGAGATCTAACCTTGCATAACTTGTCGAATCCTCAAGTTGCCCCATATTTGTTGAAGTCTGTCCTCATCATCGAGTAACGATATTTCTGGTGTAGAGTCTCCATGCTTGAAAAATAAGCATGGCATCATCTTGAATCACTCTGTCTTGCATACTGGGCTCACCTTTATCCATATCACCTTAGCACTTACGAATACACATTCCAGTATGACGTCTTGACCGGTAACCACGTCTACGACAATGGGACTATCAGGACGGTTCTCCTTGCTGGGGAAGACCAACTGAGGAGGAGCGGGCAGGCCGAACGAAGTTTCATTCTCTGCTGGGTTAACCTGTACACTGAGAATAATGTTCAAGGGTAAGGGGAAAGAAGAGTATGAACTTACCCTCAACTTTACATAACGTGGACTTTTACGAGTCTGTTTTGTGTATTCATTCCGCACTACGCAATAATACTCACCCGCATGGTAAGGCTGTACCACTGATATTTGCATCCCAGTGGAAGTTGACAAATAGTTTGAATCAGCTGAAAACGGTACTGATTTCGATAAGATATATTTCACTTCAAGCGAATCAGCCTGAACTATCTGAGTAAATCGGATACTTTGAATTGATACACTTCGATTTGATACGTCATTAGCCAGACACGGCCAGCCTTCGAGGAGGCCTACTCACGTACTTTTGTCGCTCAGACATCCATCAGAATCCGATCCACTTTTTATGAAACATATCTCAGCGGGACCAGGAACTACATCGGGTAGGCCGGCGCAAGGAAGGCGCGCCACTTGACCTTCTGTTACGTGCACATACTGAAAACATTGTTTCAATACAGGAATAGAACTGGCAAAAAATTGAAGCTTTCAGATTGGTCTGGAATTCTGAGATCACTAGACCAGATTTGTTAGTCACTTGGTTACTTTCCCTTACAATAGTCACAAATGATCGTGGTGATCGAGAGCAGCAAACCACCCATGTCAACTTCAGCTGAAAGACTAGACTTTACTACCACCGCCGCCTCTGCCTCAGTCCGAAGAATTTTAAAGAAAAGGTGAAGTCGGCCGTGCAGTGTGCAGATAGACTTGATGTCAATTTGATAAACTGAGACTCAGGGCAGCTAAGTAAGAAGCACTATTTAGCAAGTAGTCGTGTATTGAAGACATTACCCTCAACGGCACCATCACTACCAGGTCCTACCAGAACACGGCTTTCCTTTCCATTGTTGTCTCCACGACGGCAATCCGGGTGTCGTTATAACATTCAGATTGAAATAAAGCCACTCATTGCATGCTGGCGCAGTATGCTATACTGTACAATGGTTAATGAAGCGAAGCTAATACACTTCCGAACATGACTCCCATGACTGACAACCCGTTGCAAGCCACATAATGCGCAATCTTCCTTACCGATCAGGTTCTACTATCGATACTTGATGAATGAAAAACAATCCCCTCTCTTATAAAGCGTCTTATTATTTGCCAATGATGCCTCATCTTTTCCATTTTAGATCCATTATAATTTCTAATGATCTGGTAGAGAGGTAAACACAAGAATTAGGATGTTGTAAACTTACATGGTTTGTAGTCTGATCGAACTTCGTAATACGGGCTCGTCGAAGTTTTAACGGATCAGAGACCAGTGTGGTTTTTACGACTTGTCGATTAGAAAGTCTTACACCAGACACCTCAGCAATGCACTGATAGTCACCTTCGAGCTGCAGTTTACCACCGGAGAGAGTAAGCCTGAAACAATCATGATTCAGGGTCTTCCATAAAGGTGTGCTGCGATTCTGTCGTCAAGGTGAGGGGGTCGTGTCATACTTCGCTCTGAAGATTTACATCTGTCGGTGGCATGCTACGACACGACCCCAGTAGGCACTTCGAGAAAAAGGCTTCTTCTGAATTTTTCCCTTTTCCTTTCTTTTCCTTCTTTTCTATTCCTTTTTTCGGAATTGCAATTTTGTTTCTTTTAGTCCGAGCTATTGAATTGAAATTTGACTTCACCATTGCTGCGCAATGCATTGGGCGCCCTTTCCCTTATTACGTTGACGTTGGAATGACACGCCCCCTCTACTTAGATGAAAAGAACATCGGATAGAAGAGAACTTACTGTGCTCCATCGATGATAAAGTCCCCTTTGTCATTTGTTTTTATAAGGTCATTGATTGATGTCCCATCTTTCATCCATCGTATGCTATCGAATTTTGCCTGAAAGCTCGGTATTCACCTGACACATTAACGAAGAACCCGTTTTAAAAGCACGGTAAGGTTTGCAGTTGATGCTCACCACTCCCATGCATCACTTAGCCTAATACAACTTATGGTGCAGGTACCCTTTCATTTCAGAGACGGGCAGTAGGATCGGATTTGTGTAACCGATTCACCGCGCGCGGCAGTCGCCGACCATTTACCTCACTATTGAATTCTAGCTTTCTTCCACAGCTCAATCAATATGCGATTATTATTTCAGGCATCCTAATGTTAGTACTTTTGTTACTGAATTTCATACTTGCTGCTACATTCTGCTAGACTCGGTCGCGCGCAGCATCTCGCTCGCCACGATGCGACAATTTCGGCTTTTTTCAATGGTACCGTTTTGTTAAAAGTTTCATTACCTGATAACTTAAACGTTAGGGATTGTTGCTGCCTTAAACGCTCAAATACGTTTCATTCACTAAGGAATCGAACCTTCATTCCATAACCGTGACTCTACCGCCCTACAAACTAACCCACAGTTTGGCATTGATGCGACTGCTCGGTTGGTTGATCTTTTCAACACAGGATCACAAGTGAAAATGGTTTCTTAACTATATATCTAAAGTCGTTCGGCAGATTTGAAACATAGAATTGATATCAGAGTTCAAGAACTCCGACGGCGTTGTAGAACTCATCTTGAATGGCCACTGNAGGCTGATCGACGTTCGAGCAGTCTATCGCAATATATCTCAAATTTTTACATAGAAGAAAGACAGTGTTTAATGCAAGCGATGATAATTGCGGGGATAAGGTTAGGGACAATTGTGGAAGGAGACTTTTTTAGTATTCTG